ATAGCACCTGGTATTCCGAAGCAGTCACCCATCCAGGTACTTACCAGATTCTACGTTGCTTAATTTCGATGATATTACGGGAACCGGTGTTTCAACGTGATATGGTTGTCAGCCGATATTTTCTAAGGAAAATCCGTGAGATTATTCTTTTTTTTTTTTCGAATTCTGACCTTTCTTTCTTTATCTTTCTGACAAAGTTTGGAGGAAATATACCCTGCAATGTCAAATCGTGTCTTTGTTAGATGAAAGGGTTGAGCGAAACTGCAGTCGTGATAAAAATGACAAAAGAATGTAACAAAAAATGAATGAAAAAAAAATTACAAGTGCTGAATTAACAAAATGAATCCGGTAAAGATTAAATGAATAGAAAGATTTTTAAAAATGGATTTATCGAAAAAAAATGAAAAAAAAAAAAAATGAAGCTATATTGGGGAAATACAAGAAGAAATGATAAAAATTGATTAAATAAAAAAATTAGAATTTTTTTTCTTTAGCAGGCATAAGCGATAAAAAAACCAACTTCTAAATAAAAAAATGGCCGACGGAAGGTCAGAATAGAGAAAGCGAAAGAAAAATAATACGAAAGAAAACGAATGAATATTAAGAGAAAGAAGAATGGACAGAAAAAGGAACTGGATAGGGTGATAAGGAAAAGAAGATAGAGAACAGAATGAAATTTAGAGAGATAAGAAATGGTTGGAGAAAAAATATAGACGAAAAAAAAAAATAGAAGAAAAATTAAAAAGAAAAGTGAAAAAAAATGAAGATTAATGTAAAAAGAAATACGGAAAGAATTAAGGTAAGAGTAAAGAAGAATAAACGAGAAGTATTATAGAAGAAAGAAAGAAAGAAAGAAAGAAAGAAAGAAAAAACAAACGGAATGAAGAAAATGAAGGAAGAAAGAAAGGCAGGAAAGAAGAAATGATAAGAAAATTAATAAAAGGAAAACAATAAAGGTAAGGAACGAGAAAGAGTAAGAATAAAGGAAGAATAGAAAGGAGAAAGGAAATAAGAAATAAAACAAAAACGAAGAAAATCAATCACAAAGCATAATCAGAAAATGGTTGTAAAAAGAAAAAATAGATAAGAACAAAGAAAAGAAAGAAAGAAAGAAAGAAAGAAAGAAAGTAAATTGAAATAAAAAAAGAAAAGGATGAAGAAATGTCAAAATGAAAGAAAAGGATAAATGTAGTGAAAGGAAAAAAATAACAAAAGAAAGAAAGAAAGAAAAAGGAACATGAAATAATGAAAGTAAAAGAGAAATAGAAAAGTAAATAAAAAACGAAATTAAGCAAGACAGAAAGAAAAAAAAAGAAAATGATCCAAAAAGAAAAAAAACAAAAAAACAAACAAACAAACGAATAAAGAAAAGTTAAAAAAAAAAAAAAATGGAAGAATGAAGGTAAAAGAGTAGGAAAAAGGAAAGAAAGAAAAGAACTGACGGAAGAAAGAAAGAAAGAAAGAAAGAAAGAAAGAAAGAAAGAAAAAGAAAAACGCAGCAAGAAATAAAAAAAGAAAAGGATCTGGAGTAGTTTAGAAAAATCATTTTAAAAATATATGATTAATTAATTTTTACGGATTATCAACACTAATTATTTTAATTAGTTATTTAAATCCAGTAATTTTTGGATTGTAAGAATACTTTTTCAGAGATAATAGCGATTTTAGTTATGCAAGTCTTACTAATCAACTGTGGGGGGGGGAGATGGATTCATACCTTTCCCAAGTGTATTTGCTAGTAAATGAATATAACGAACCCAAATAGAATTGCAACACGGCTCTTCGATTAATAATTTCGAGACGTTATTCATTACACCACCCCCACATCCAAGTTCACAGTACCTGTTATTCCGTAAGCGCCCATTCATCAGGATCGACGTTGCTTAACGTCGGTGATCGTACGGGAACCGGTTTTTTTAACGTGATGAGTTCGCAATTGCTAAAAATATATATATACATAGAAAGATCATCAAAGATGATTGACTCGAAGGCGAGGGTTTAAAATTAAATGAAATGTCGTAATTGAAATTAGGATGTGATGCAATTAGGAAAAAATTGTAGATCCTTCAAATGAAGAAGAAAAATTAGAGGACTCTTTGGTGTGTGAGATAATTTCCTTACAAACATCACTGATAAGTTTCCTAGCTAAGGTAAAAATCAAGGATTTCCAATGCGGATTTTCAAAGCAACAAGTCTCTCCGCGCAACATAATCCTTCTGTTACCATTCATAGACTTGTGAGGTAATAATTAAAAATGGGCCAATACAGAATGATTGCCTTGTGAGGTAATTAATAAAAATAGGCCAATGTAGAATTGTGACGTTCTAACCTTTTGCTGATTCGGATGGGAATCTGGTTAGATTCGGTATCAGCCTTGTCGTTCCCAGCTCGCCTCCAACGTCTGGTTACCGAAGTAACTGCTTTGATTTCTAGTCTAACCTACCCACGTTGTGATTTGATCTTCGGTAGACGAAATCAATCAGTCGCCGGGCCGCAATGCAAGTCGGGTTCGAACAAGATATGTAAAAGAAAATAAAATAATACCTCGAAAAGTTCAAATGTGTTAAAAAGGATAACAATATTTTATATCTGGTTGCGGAATACAAGACTGCGTCTTTCTCCCAAACCGCTATATGGATTCGTGACACTTTGTGTTTGTTAGGCGAGTCTTAACATCTTAAGTTGTTTGTTCTTTAAGAAACTGGTTCTTGGTGTATCTTCAGGTGATATTTGTAAAACTTGTTTTGGTGGTGTGAGTCTAAGTCTTTTTTCAAAAATAAATTGTTCTTGTTTAGAAGTTGAGGTCGTGATTTGTGTGGAATCTTTCAGTCAGGTTCCTGCGAGGCGGGCCCAACTCAATCCAACTCAGCTGCGAACTGCGAACTTAACTCGAACTGCCAACTAAACTGGAACTGCCTTTCACTCGCTGCGACTCTGCTTACATGGACGCCGACCAAAACCGGGGTGTGCTTGTCTGGGTTTGAGGTTCCTTGGTAATTCTAAATCCACAATCCACTTCTTTGTTTTCGATCAGGAAAATTTATTATTTTCCATTTTTGGAAGTCTTTCGTTTTCCCACCTTCTTCTGTTCTCATATTGGTATCTGATCATACCCTCAGAGGGTGTCAACGGGTTTCCCCTCTCTCTCTCTCACGGTGGAATCTCATACCGATCCCTTCAGTGGGGATGTCAACAGGCCTCCCCTCCTTCTTCACATGATTACCTTCGCCTGCCGCTCACGCCAGCATTCAGCCAATGGGCGACCAGCAGTGTGGGTGTGGCCAGACTCGCCTCGGTTTAAAAAAATCTTGCTCAAAGAAAAAAAAACTTTTCTTCCTTTTTCTTTCCTTCTTTTCTTTCCTTTTTTCTGCCCGACAACAAGTCCTTGGACTCTTATCTTAACCGAATTTCATATGGAATTCGTCACTCGGGACCTTCGCCAAACAAGTGGGTGGTCAATTGGACGTATCGCACCTTGGTGCCAATTATTCGTTCTGATAAAATAATTTTGCTATCATAGCCAGCCCTGACAATAAACAGGTGTATTTTCCAAATGACATGGAGGTGATTCAACGGACATTTTGGTTTCGGTCAAGCTTGACCTAATTAATTTTTATATCCCAGCACTCTGCGGGAGGTCGCTTGTCCAACTTGAAATTTATACCATTGCCATGGGCAGATTGGATATATCTTATTCCGTGCGCCGTCAGGAATTAAATTAAATCCGACACATCCGCGACCTTACTTTCCTCGCTAATGAGAATAAAACCTTCAGCATTTTTCTTTGTTAAAAAGAATAACATCGATTAGTGTCCTTTTCGTGAAGGCTTCTTATCACCTCAATTTAATTCTCGCCTTTCTTTTTTTTCTTCTTTCTTTCTAGCAACCTAAATAGTGCCACAGAATGATTGCCTTGTGAGGTAATGATTAAAAATTGGCCAATATAGAATGATTGCCTTGTAAGGTAATGATTAAAAATGGGCCAATATAGAAGATTAATGCCGGCCACTTTATTGTGAGATGAGCCCCTCAGCCTATTTCGATTTTTACTGGATGCTATACCACCTGAGGTCTTTGCTACTATAATTTAAACAGCTAAGCTTCCTTATTTATCGAAACAGTGTCTCACGTGGCGCGATGCCAATATAGCTCGTCATATACAGATTCGCAGATACAGGGAGTTTGTTCCGAAGCAGAAAGTCTTACGTTTATGCGCCGTATCTCTTTCCGAGCTACTTTCACTGGTACCCCAACTGCATGAATTTAAGCGTGCTACTAGTTTGTCATCTCCGTCCCACCCTCTCACTGTCGAAACAGTTAAATGTTACCGGCTATTCTACACAAACATCGTCTTCTGTCGCACTTCCCGGCAGTGGAACTCCCTTCTTCCTACTTGCTTCTCTGATAGCTATATTCAAATGTAATGGATAGCTGCTTGGATTGAGGAATCAGAGAGCCGAGTTCAAATTCCAGTCGAATCCATCGCCTTCACTTACGTGCTAATACCCTTGGGAAAGGTAGGAATGCTTCTCCCACCACCTATAGGTAAAAAGAAGGACAGACTGGGTTCTATAGTCTTGGATGGCAACTGGTCTACCGCAGAAAGACATGGCAACTTACTACGGGAAAAATCTGCCTCATCAGTCATGTATCGAATGATACATGATCGGCTAGGCGTGCATAATGCGTGGCACATAATTGAATGCCAATCGACATCTGCTGATGCCTTCATCCTGATCACCGTCTTTCTCTATATCCTTTCGACAAACACCACTCTTTACTCCTGCTCTCACTCTATGTAACCCCTTGCGTGATATTGTCACTCCCACCTTGCTTGGAGTGAAATGCTTAAAAAAATACGACATCCTTTCCTGAATAGCTCTCAGCAACGTTTTTCTTTTTCACCATCACCCCTACTCCTTGTTCTATCATCCCTTTACACAAACTCGTTATATAGGTTCCTCTCTATTTCCCTCTGTCCATCTTCTTTCCAATATGCCCTGTGTGTGTCAAGTTCTCCAAGCCATCTTTCCATATAATGTGTCCTAGAAATTTCAACTATTTCTTTCTGATTCTAGGTATGAGTTACCTTATTTCGTTACTCAAATTTTCCGTCCATGGTATTCTCATCATCCTACTGTAGAATGTCATCTCTGTTGCTTCAGGACTCTTAATCTGTGATGAGATTGTCAAGCTTTTACTGCCGTATGGGAGGACGGGTATTACATGAGAGATCTGTACTCATTGTTTCTAATTTTCTAATTTATTTTATAATTTTCATAATTTCTAATTGATATTTTTCTGTTACTTAATACTTTTTTGGGGTGGGTGGATGGGGGTATCTGTCGTTATTCCAATACGCTTTCGAATTGCTGTCATATTTTTTGTCTTCTGTTAAAACACATCTCAGAATTAAATTTTTGCACTTATATTGACTTTTTTTATCGTTGATGGTTAAACCTTTCTTCCAACTTTCCTTCACAATCTTACCTGGGATTAGCCATATTTCTTTCTGTGACTACCACAGTAATAAAATGCTTAATCTATGTAGACTCCTGATCACATCCCCCAGAAAGATAAGCCAGTCAGTTATGTGCCATGCGTGATACACGCTGAGGCGATCATGTATCTTTCGATACAATACTGACGAGGCACATTTTTTTCTCGCATTAGGCTGCCATTTCTTTCTGCGATAGACGAGTTGCCATCCGATCTATACAACCCGGTCAGTCCTGCTATTTACCCATAGTTGAAGGGCAGAAGAGGATTCATACTTTTCCCAAGGGTATTAGCACGTAAGTGAATGTAATGGATTCGACTGGAATTCGAAGTCAGCTCTGCAACATATATATATATATATATATATATATATATATATATATATATATATATATATATATATGTATATATATATATATATATATATATATATATATGTTTAAGCGTTTCACCCCAAGCAAGGCGGGAAGCCACTAGGATGCAAGGGGTTACAGAAAATTTGGAGCAAGATCAGATAGGAGTGATAGAAGAAAGGATGAGGAGAAGGGTAGTGGATAGATCAAGGCAACTGGAGATGTCGATTGACATTACATTTGAATAGCTGGAGATTATAGCTCTCAGGGAAACTAGAATAGGGAAGGGAGTTCCACAGGCGAGAGGTGCGAGCCATGAAGATATTGGAGTAGAAGAGACGGCTACATTTAGGAGTTTCGACAGTGAAGGGGTGAGAGCGGGATGCCAGCCTCGTAGGGCGCTTGAACTTGTGAAGTCTGGGAACCAGCGAATGCAGCTCCTCGGAGCAATTGCCATGAAAGTATTTGTAAAATAGACAGAGAGAGGCGACGGCGCGTCTGTGCGAAAGTGACTGTAGACGAGATGCCAGATCAGGGCCAATTATATTGCATATCCGCCTCTGGAGCCTATCAAGAACCCCGAGGCAAACAGAAGGGGCTCCAGACCATATGTGGCAGTGAATACTCCATGCAAGGGCGAATTGTTGATTTGTAGATCTGGAGGATCGATTCCGGGAGAAAAAATTTCCTGCGCGGCACAGGGAGCCAACTTTCCTTGCGGTGGACGAAGCAATTGACTCAATGTATTTGTTCTATCTTAGGTCAGCAGTCAACGTGAGACCGAGCAGCCGCAGAGAGGTGCTCTCGAGCAGTTGAGCGTCAGACGTTCTAATGGAGAGCAGGGGGATATATATATATATATATATATATATATATATATATATATATATATATATATATATATATATTCAAACATGTCTGGTTGAATAATCACATATTATTATAGACATGTTATGTCTATTTATTTATATTTATTCCGCCCGAATTCTTAAATCAACTTTATAGTGTTCATTAAGGAAGGCGCCATACTTTTTTCTTTTATTTTCTCCCAAGTAATTTCAATCTCATCCGAGATCAACTTCAAGGGGGAATTTCCAAAACAAAAAATTAAATCATGCCGGTGATCTTCCGAATGAATTTCCTCTATTCTGGGAATTCTTATTTGTCTTATAACCCAAGCGATGGCATAATATAGAAACAACATCCTTGGTATGACGGTAAACTACATCCGGCAGCAACGTTCCTGATCAGGATAATTTAGGTTTCGTGGAACCACCTCTTAATTGCTATTGTTACCAGGTCCGCGTTGAACAGAGGTGGTAGCACCTGTTAGGGTCCCAGCTATGGGCAGAAAGTAAAGCCTCAGACAAAAAC